TTTGCTATTTGCCAGTATTTATATAGATTACTGGCATCAATCTGCTTTGCTCCTCTCATGAATCTAATAAGCCCGAAATCTCCCCGGATGGGGTATTTTATCCAACTGGCTTGAGAAGAGCAAGACCCATAAAGTTTATCAAATGATTCAGGAAATGCAGTGCAATAAATCAATTCTCTATAATAATAGAAATAAGAAAATATTCTATATATTTAGACTGAACATTAGGAAAGAATTTTTCACAGAAAGAGTGGTCGGGCATTGGAATAGGCTGCCCAGGGAGGTGGTTGAGTCACCATCCTTGGATGTGTTTGAGCTGTTTAAATGTGGTGTTGGGGGATATGGTGTAGGGGAGAACTTTGTAGAGTAGGGTAGATGGTTGGACCCGATGGTCCCAAGGGTCTCTTCCAACCTAGACAATTCTATGATTCTATATTAAGTCTGAATTCAGAAATAGAGCTGATAGGAAATGTATTCGAGATTTCTTTCTCTTATATATCTCACAATTCAGTTTGTAGCAGCTTTTTGTCTCACTAAAAATCAGATTTAACATGGAATATTAAGGTGTCACCGTTAACAGAAATACCAGTTTAGTCCTTGATCCAGTAGTGCCACAGATTCTGTTCTATATACATTCTATGTATGTACACATGTTGCTACATGTAAAGAGGTTTTTTTTGTTTTGGAGGCATGTGGTCCTTTTTGAAATACACGTGAACTCTGACTATGTTTTAAACTAAACTAATCTACATCATACAACACAGTCTGTCTAAAAGCAGGGATGCAAGAGCCTGAATGTCCTCTGCATTGACAGAAATGCTTGTTTATATACTAGAAATATCTTTTTATGAGTGACTGTTACCTTGGAAACCACTACTAAAAAAGAAAATTTTGTCTCCATGGAAAATTCATACTATTCAGTTTTGCCCAAAATTTACCTTATCTTTTCCTGATCAATCTGAAACACAAAGATTGGAAGTCAGATGTTCCTAGCTCTTAACTTGTCCTTCCTATTCTAAAATTATATCTTGCTGTAAGTTTTGCAATTCCTGGTGGCAAACAGAGGCTAATCTCTCTCTCTTTTTTTTTTTTTTTACCCCCACCAACCCTCTTATCAAAAACATATTTACATTCTTTTTCTCAATAGGCTGGGGTACAAAAAAAAACCCCAAAGCCTTCACAGAAGTCAGCAAGCTATTTTCTGAGATTTCAGTCTTTTCATGTACTGTTTAAAGGATTCAACAGCTCTCCAACCAGCAGTGTCAGGCCAAAATTCTTGGGAAACATAATGACTTTTAACTGTGTTATTTGGGGCATCTATCAGGTTTCCCATCACTACTTAGTTGAATATAGTCCCCTCAGCAGTGTTTCAGTGTGAGCACGGAATATAGCCATTTTCTATGTTGTTTCCTCTCCAGATTTTCCCTAACAGTGTTATTCCTTTTCCTAGAGTCTGATACCTGATTTTTGCCCTGCATGTGGGAGGATGTGCTAACAGAAAGAATACAAGATCCATTCTAAACCAGTGAGTAAAGAGGAAGATACATATATTGGATGGCAACAGGAAGACAAAGCAAGAGATGCTGATTATCTGACTGAAGGCTGTGCCTGCTCAGACGTGTTAAGTTCACAAGGTAAGAGGGCCTTTCAGCCTAATTTTGTGAGGCTGCAATGTGTTTTGCCACAGAGCATGACAGCTTTTTAAAATTTGATTTGTCTTCTGCATCAATTTACAATTTTTATGTCTGGGAATACATTTACATAGTATTGACCACAGCATCACAGATGTGTTGATATAAAAATTCTAATTTTTGGCTTCAGATTGGGTTAGGTTGTCTTGTAGATCTTGTTTCCAAAGAAAACATGCAATTGTACCATTCTACTTCTGACATCAGGACTAAGACAAAAAGGGGAATAAAAAATAATCGCAGTTTCCTCTAAGCACTGACAGACGGTGGTGTACTAGGAGACGTGAGCCTAAAAATACTACTGTTAATTTGCAGACCCCCTCTATGGATTTCTTGTAGCTATAGGTACTGGGCTGTTATCAAGAAAAATCCCTGCGGAGAGGAAAGACAAAGTCTAAAAGCACCAGAACCTCTGCAAAAACACTGAGGGTTTAACCTTCATATGGCAAAAGCACAGTATGGAACTAAATAGATGCTATAAAACCCTCTAGTAATACACGCAGCCTGCTGTTGGGAAGATGTTTGTGATGGGGAGACAGGTCAATGACATAGTGATGGTCAGTGAAACCTGCAAGAAGACATGGGATCTAGTGTGGGGTTCTATTATTTTGTTATCCTGAAAAACTTCTTAAAGTATGACAGTCTTCACTGAATCCTCCACAGCCACTGTGACAAAAATGTCTTTCTTCCAAACCCCCCTTCCCTGGCCATAATTGTGCTGTGTTCCTTTAAAAAACGTGATGGGACTACTGGAGTCCCTACAGGGAAGATCTACTGGACCTGCGCAAGGGGAGCAAGACGCAGAGGGTGGAGCATATGGCAGGCAAGAACATGCCACATAAGACTTGGCAATCACCGCATCGTCCAGAATGCCTGTGACATGAAACAGGGACTGGAACAGTCATTCTGCCCTCAGGGATGAGGGAAAGACATTTCCAAAGGACCAGAGATGACAGAAGAGAATTGGGCAGACTCAGCCACAGTGATTGAAAGTCCAGATGTGAAGACCTACTTGCAAGAACAGAGGGGGCTGGGGTTGAAGGAATGAGTGATTTAAAATGCTTTTAATTTCTACTATGCCTGACCCTGTTGCTTTGAATTCTTCCTATTTACAAAGCTTCTAGTTCATATTATAATGACACATTGCATTTTCCCACCTGAGTTTCAAAGATTTTTGATCTTCTTTGGGGAGTTCACGGTTGAAGCAGAGTCACCTTAAACATCTGGCTGACACAGGGTCCTTCCACTGGCCATCAGCCTCTGTAATGCTCTTCCCCTTATTTGCAGTATCCTGATGGACATGCTATAGATACCTGCTCAGCATGATTTTCTAGTACAGCATGTGGTTGCAACCTTGGAGGACTGAAGCAATGGCTCTGAGGTAGTCCACCTACAACAGCTGCCTCACAGACTCCGATATTAACCAGCTGGGTGAACCGATAGGAAAACAGTGAGCAGTTCAATCAAAGCCTGTCCTATGCTTCAAGAAACTCCTTCAACACCGATACATTGTCATGAAATATTCCTTTTTTTAACACCATAGCATTTCCTGATTAAAAGCAGCTCTAGCTATGAAAAACTAATCGTTCAGTATCGGTATCCAGTAGAAACTTACAGGATAAATAATAGCTGAAAGCCTCAAATTATACTTCAGTATTTTTTCCTGAATCTAACTGGGAGACACTGCTTAGCAATTTCTAGTGCCTTCCTCCAGCTGAGCTGATTAGCCCATGATGAGAGCTGAGCAATGTAACTTAACTTGCTTGTCACTGGGGGCATTCGCTGCCAGCTGAGCACGCTCACATGGACAATTAGCAAGGCTCAGCCAACACGTGATAACTTGTTAAGCTGCAGTAATGTTTATTTTTCTCTTTAAGCCTCATACTAAGAAACAGTGTGAAGCAAAAGAGGTTTTGATAACTGAATGAGGGAAATCTCCCCTATAAAGGATAAAATTTATGGTTGCCCCCCGCCCAGCTTGCATATTAATACCAATAGAAAACCTTGCAAAGTGACTTGTTTAGCTCTCGTCAGCTTGCAGTCCTGTATAGACCTTGTTCCAAGAAGTGGAATTTACAGTGAATTTATCAGAACACCCCTATTTTGGGCTTAAACAAAAAGAAAAATAATTTTATATAAAGGACCTATAATCCCATTACTATAGCTATACTGAATTCAATAGATACACCAGAGTACTTACTATAATACAGTTAAATTAGATGAGTTCCTCATTTTGGCCATACGTCACATTTTAAGGTGAAATAGAAAAAAGGTTGAAATAGGTCAAAATAATTTATTTAATGATAATTTATTAACTCTATTAGAATTCTGTCACTGTGGCTTATCATGGGAAATACAAATTCTGTGCATTTCATGAGACTACTAATGAGAACACACCCTGACTCTGAAATAATTTTAGTTTCAGTGATAGATATGAAAGTTACTTGAAACCAGCTTATAATCAGCTAGAATTCTTAGTGTTCTGGTAATAATCCTAACAGGAACGTAATTGAACATTTTGGTATGGTGAAAAAATGCTGTATCCAAACTTGCAATTTTGTTAGCACCACCACACTCCTTTCCCTATGTTCTTTTACTACAGGTACAATTTACTTTTCTTCTTCAAAGTCAAATTTGAACAAGCTTCTCCATGTTCAAGAATTTTTCACTTCAGTGAGACCCCCCCCCCCGCGACCACAAACCAAACCAACCAAAAAAAAAAAAAAACAACACCAAAACAACCCCACCCGAACCCCATTTTCCACTAAAACAGTTTACTTGCATCACAAAAGGAATTTAAGTATTAATGAGAGCTAAACCTTGAGAGAAAGGTCTTACATATCTCGTTAGAAGGTAAGCTTAAGTAAAATAAAATGAAAATTTGAATTTATGAATGCAAGGCTTGACACTATAGTTCCAACAGTGGTATTGGTGAGATTCTCTCCTCCCCCACCCCGCCTTTTTAAAAACATATCTATGTAAAGAAGTGTTAGCAGAAGGGGAAACTATGTCGAAAAAAAGAAACAAAACCAAAACAAACACAAAACCCAAACAAGAATGGAAATGGTCTCCCACTTACACCTGCCAATTTGCTTAAAAAAAAATAATTGCCGATGTTCAATATACATCCCTTACACAGCCAACAATCAAAACAGCTTCCCTTAAACACATTGGCAGTGCTATTAAACCACATGGACTGAGAATGGAACAAGCCCAATTCAAACTACTAATCCTATGGCACAGACAAATCTGAAACTAGACTAAAAGAGGCACAAGGCCATCAACTGTTCAAATTAGATAAGACAAACTTACGCTTGTTGTGTAAGCAGCTTCAGGATCGTCCTCTAACACTCGTGACAAACCAAAATCGGAGACTTTACACATGAGGTTACTGTTCACCAAGATATTACGGGCTGCCAGATCACGGTGTACATAGCCCATGTCCGAGAGGTACTTCATGCCAGATGCAATCCCCCGCAGCATGCCAACCAGCTGGATGACTGTGAAGTGGCCATCGTGCTTCTGCAAGATGCAAGGTCAAAGAACACAGCTCCTTTTCATTAACTTTGTAGTAGTGATATTAACTACAGCTCATATTTAAAATACACTTGTGATCCATCCATCCAACCTGCCCACTGCAAGCTTGCTTTTTCAAGTATTTAACTTGCTCAGCAGTGCAAGCTATCCCATCTCTCATTGTGCGGTTTATCCCCCATTTCTTCCACATTTTCACATGCTCAGTCTTTCTACTGATAGTATTTAATATCTTTTAACCTCAGTTACTAAGAACGCTCTCCCCAAACACTGTTTTTTAATACAAGAATGACAACACACAGAAAAATCCTCTCTATCTCTTACTACCCGGCCTCAGGAAACAAAAAGAGCCTCTTTTCAGTGCCTCAACCTTGATTGTCTGCAGGAAGTACTGCTGTTACTTCACTTTTTGCAGGGGTTTGTTTGTTTAAAAACACCAAAAAAAACCCCAACCAACCTGAAACGAGCTTGGAACTTTACCTCATGTCTGTTCTGCACCTAACACCATATAGTCTCTAAATATTAGATTAAAAAGGAGATTTGGGCTGAAATTCAGAGTTCATGTAACTTTTCCAGTCTTCCTGGCTCACTAAGCCCATTAAACTCAGACCCATGAACGCATTAAACTGCTTAACTCCTGCTGAAGTCTATTGCAGTTGAAAATGTAAATAAACAGTTATGTTGTTAACCACATTTGTCCATCTGGTCAGTCTTGGTGGGCCTCAGTTTCCCATCTGCTTCTGTACCTCCTACATCAGAGTGCTCCTGCGTTATGTGGCAGTGCACAAGTGAGTACCCGTACAGAAATCTGATTATGGGCTTTTTGTCTGGTTTAGGTCTGCCCTATCTACCATTTACAGCAGACTGCTTACAGCAGTATTTCTGTGACCTCAGCTGGCAGACATTTAGCTTCTCATGGATTATTCAGTGAGCCAGGCTTTTATGTTAGCAGGAACAGCCAAACAAAAACAAACAACTCTTCCCTGCAAGCATGTTAACGTTCCATTTTCTCTTTCAACACCTTCAGCTTTGGGCTGCAGACAAGTAGCAGTGTTCTGATCAGCATTAGGACATTTCTGTTGCTTAGCTCATACATTTAAGCAAGATGACTTTTGTAGGGGAGAACTTTACAGTAAGTCCAGTAAATTCCTTAGATTCAGCAAAGCAGCAGGCTGAATGGTATGGATATGCTTAACTTTATTACTGATGAGTAAAGTACTTCAGCATTTCCATCACAATTCAATTTTTTGCAGCCTATACCTAGCTAGTCGGGACATAAACATTTAAAGAAATAGGGAATTAGTACTCAGATGTAATTAAGATTAATAAAAACCCCAGACACAGAGCAGTTTGGTGTTACTCGCTTCTCATGTTATCAATCTGTCTTCTGAGGTGAAACAATACTAGACCAAGACCTGCCTCTAATATATTATGCATCTACTTAAATCAAGAAAGTATACATTCTTAAACGATAAGTTATTTAGTGTGCATAAGAGACTGCTAAATTGAAAAGGCTGTTTGCCTATAAAGAAGATGAAGGAATGGGTTCGTAAAGTCACTATTATTCAATTAAACCCTATTGGGTACAAACAGAAAGACAGGCCAACTTCGCAAACAGAAAAGGCAAAGACAACGCAGATTCTGCATTTTGCAGAACTTGCAGAGTATCTTGAAACTCTTTCAATTCCTTTCATAAAATCAATTGGAAGAAAAGCCCAAGTGCAGCAGTATATGAAAAGCTGCATTATTGGCAACATTCACCAGCTACTGACCAGCACTGCTGTGTCAGGTTATAACACAAGACAAAAAACAGAAAGAAAATGGTAAAAAGAAAATACACATGGTTGCTATATGGTCAGGTTTCCAGGCTGCTGTTCTAAGCCAACATATCAGAATGCAAAAATTCAGATACTAACACCTTGTCAACTAGAAGACCTCACCGCCTCATCATATTTCCCAGCAGCATTTGTATTTAAGCAGATGCGCTTTCATCAGTGGCCAAACACTACAGCCATCTCATGGATGCCTCCAAACAAAGCATGTTCAATGACACTTCTTTGAAACCAGCTATTTATGACTGAGTCATAGCAACTTTTCCCCTTACTGTTCCTCTTGCATCAGTGCTCGGGAGCCTTTTTGTCTCTAAGTTCCCCACGCAAAAGCAGAGGCAGATCTCCCCAAGCAATCACATCACACCTATAATTAGCCCCCTTCCTTTGTTGTTTCCCTCTCAGCCACCTGTAAGCAGTTAGTTCTGCAGTTAGTTCCCACTCAGCTGGGAGTCAAGACACAAGTGTGATAGTCAGACATTTTACAAAAGGCCATCCCCAGTTATGGGCCTAAGGTATTCCCTATCACGAGCCCCTAGCACAAGGATAAGGTGAAGGTCTCAGAATCAAAGCATGGTAGTGAAAGATATTTTAAATAAAAACTTTCCATCTAGCAATTAAGCAAATGGAGACAAAAGAGAATATTCTTAAATACTTTAAGCCTTTTCCAGCAAGGGAAGGACCTGAATTCTACCCAATGTTTTATGTAATGAAGCCACAAAGGATTTGGGGTTTGCTTTTTATTTAATAATTCTAAATGTTCAATGGACTCAAAATTTATTAAGCTGGTTGCAAACAGTTAATACTCTTCACATCTAGTATGGACAATGTTTTTTAACTAACTGTAGAATTAGGATTTGGAACAAAGCACCTGTTACTTACTTTTGCAAAACAACCAACCAAGTTCCCCCCTGTGCCTGCAACAAAGCACCGAACAAAACCAACCCCCCAACCTCTAAATTTGACCTCCTCCTTATCATTGTTAACAGATCCATTCTTTCAACAAACTGCAGAATCATCTGCAACACCTCCCTTAACCTTTTGTCCCCTTGGATCACCAGCATTCCTTCCTTCCTTTTTTAATTTCTGCTCTTTCAAATCTAGACCACGCTTGACTGATTTTTCATAAAACACAGCCTTTTTCTGCTCTTTCTGAATCTCAATATTTGCCTTACCAGTATAGCAGAAATGCCGGAGTTAAAAACAATCTCACGCTTTTGCCATTCTCTCTCTCTTTCTTTCAAATTTCTTTGGGCTTCTGCCTTGACACAAAAAGTTCAAGTTTCCTATTTCCACTTTTTAAAGAAATGACAGACTTGCTAACCTACCAGTTGCAATTTTATTCTATCCTCCTTCTCCCTCTGTGTATTTCTCTGAACCCTTTTCTGCATCTGTTCTTCTCTGTCTCTGCTCATGCTTGGCTTCATATCGTTTCATTGCCAGCCTTGCACTTGGAACAACTACATTTTTCCTGTCAGCAAAACAGTCTTCTCTCTCTCAAGTCTCTCTGTAATGGCTTCTGCATCAGTTTCCATGCCAGCTGTATTCCCTTACAAACTGTTATCTTCCAATATATCAAAATATTTGTCTGATTTAAGCTGATCAGGACAGAGACTATGGGCCATATTTAACCCTTGGAAAATTCAACTAAATTGATGAGATTATATCAGTTATGAATCTGGCTTTGTATTTTCAGCATTTGCAAATCCCCATGTACATTTGTGAGTCAAACCAATCCTTTGGCAACTTCCCATTATCTCCTTTCATTTGCTTGTCACATAGGGACACAAAACACTCATCTGAATGATATGGTAGTTGTTATCCAGGGCTTTATTCTGATTCCCGTGGCTGAGATTTGAAATACACTTTTGATAGGATTCCCTCTGGGCTGTTAAGGGTGTTAATCAATACTGGCAGCAATTCAGACCTCAGTGGACTTCCCACATTTATCCTATCATCCCATCAAATTTTAATCAGGCTTTAATGGCTCTGCTAAATAAATTTTTCTCATCAGCTGAGTATAGATGTAATATCAGAGTAGCTGCTATTTATGCAGCCCTGCAAATGCCCTGAAAAAATGTTGTTTTTCCACTCAGCTACAGTTTGCTTTTGAAAACCTTATGTACATGAAATATTCTCTTCCTGTTATAGATCTTTCAATAGCACTAACGTATAATGGGCTGGTGAAGAGGGTCAGTTACTGTAGGGGAGGAAGGATGATATCCTAAGTTTCTCCCATTGCTTTTTGCCCTCTGGTTTCCAGCTCCAACGTGCACTGGTTCAGTGCTTTCCTACAAGCCCATGGAATTCTTCCTCTTCAGAAGACTTTTTCCATTTTACTACTGAGTAACCTTTCGGAGGTGTGGTTGTTGAATTTTTCTGTATTGTTTCTGGACTGTTGTCTATTCTAAAATCCACTTCTTTATTTGCCCTATAAGTCAGAGCACTTTTATGCCCTTATATTCTGAGAAGCGTATAGGATTTCCTACAGATCTAAATATTTTACTGTGAATGATTTAGATCTTATTTTAGATGCAGAATAGCACTGAAAATGGTGTGTCTGTGTCTAACACTTAGATCATATTCCCCAGTGACAGTTCCTACTGGTCACAATATGAAAGATGTAGTTTTTGCTACGCTATATGTTACTATTTGACCATGCAAAGTAAATGGTAGAACTCCACCAGGATAAATCTTCCAAAATTCAAGTTGCAACTTGGTACTTCCTGGAAGTATAACTCATGTTTCATACTACTATGTGGATTGCACTCAGGTTTATATTACTGATACCGAATTAGGTCAACTGTCAATTTCCTGTTTAATCAACTGTTAACAGGATTCCATTCAATTACTAATACCTAATTTCATTAAATGTAACACATAAAAACCTGAAATTACTTTAGTACATTTTAAATGCTACTGAGTGATCCTACACAATAATCTAAGGGCCTCTTCACCCACTAAAAATATGGGAAATCTTTCTATTATTAAAAAAAAATGTTGCAGGTGAAGCCCTGTCAAAGCTTATTTTAGGATGCAATAGCCACACTCAAATCTGAACCAAATAGCAGCAGTAGCCTTGTAACCTGAGACCTGTTTTCATTACTCAGCTACAGCAACGAGAAAGGGATGCCCTGGCATAACCAAGTGTCCCTGCCC